AAAACAAAGGTGGGAAAAAAGACAGTGTCCTTCACAGGGAACTTCTATGTGGATTGAAGGCTGCTTCTTTTGAACAGAAAACAGGCAGGGTTTGGATATATTTTTTTTTTAAGGGATGTTTTGTCTAAAGGGAGAGTCTGAGGAGTAGAGTCAGAAGGGCTCAGGCTCACCAGAGCATGGTACAAGGTGTGTGTCAGACTGCACAAACACCATGTCTGCACTGGCAGCTGCCAGGCTCTGTCCTGGCCCAGCACTGAATTCCTGCTGAGCTGATCAAAGTTCCAATCCACAGGCAAGTCTCCCAGTTAGCCAGTTTTCCATTGCTTTGGGTTGGAGCGGAGGAAACGCCTCCTTTTCTGACCAATCAAGATGTGCCTCCTGAAGGCTAAGTGTGTATTTACCTGTGCTAGATCAAGTGACCATGGGCCACTTGGAAATGATCCCCGAAAGCCATCATCCTTCTCTGGAGCAAGGGTCAGGTTTTCCTCTTGGCTGGTCCTTCCTGGCACAGCAAACCAGCTCTTATCTCTCCTTTGGCTGAGCGCTGTGTAACCTTTTATTACATAAACTGTCCCCTGTCATGGTACCAGTCTGGCTTGATTTGCTGACCTGTTCCTGAGGGAACATCATCTCCTTCTGGACTGCTTGATGTCCTCAGGAATTGGTAATAGCAGTATTCCTGCTGGTCATTTGGACTGCTAAACTGGGGAGGGACAGCTGTTCTCCTGCATCACTGGATCACTGTCTTCAGACTAAATCTGGTAAATGCTGCTGATGATTTGAAGGAGTCTCTCTCACATCCAATGAAGGGCTTGACTGTGTGAGCTCCATTCCCTTCCCTGGACGCACTCCAGGGCTCTCAGGGCCCAGAACTGGACCCAGCCCTGGAGGTCCCTCAGCAGGGCCAGCCCAGGAACCCCTGGGCACCCCTGTGCTCCTGTCCAGCCGCTGGCACAGCACCCCCAGGGCCTCTCCTGACGGGCCCTTTCCAGCCCCTCTGCCCCAGCCTGGAGCTGCAGGGCTTGGGGTGACCCCGGGGCAGGACCCAGCACTTGGCCTTGCCAAACCTCTCACTGCGTTGGCCTCAGATCAATACCTGGAGAAAGTTTAGGAAGCTGTATTTAAAATATCTGTAACAGGCTGGAATTCCCAAACAGGTTTTCCTCAGGAGTACCACAGGCTCAAGGCATCCTTCAGCCGTGGTCGTTGGTAGCTGTGCAATGTGTTGGTGTTTTGTTTTAAAGCACAGGTTCTTGCTCATCCCTTATGCTTCTTTTCTTTTGTAGCTCCAAACCCATTTCTTCACCTTTGATTGTCCAAGTTGGGCATGCAGAGACCCTCCAGCCCCTGCTTGCCCTGATGGGTTACTTCAAAGATGATGAGCCTCTCCTGGCCAACAACTACGCCCGGCAAGCGCATCGGAAATTCCGCA